TGCGGCCCGTCGGTCTGGCCCCGTCAGGATCTCACTCACACTCGCATGCGGCAGGGTTTAGGGTTTAGTGTTCAGGGTTTAGGGTTTAGGGTTCAGGGTTTAGGGTTTAGGGTTTAGCGTTTAAGGCAGGCAAGCTCCACTCAATTCAAGCTCAAAACTGCAATGACAGAGCCCAGGTACGAGAGAGACGACCAGAACCATGCTAAGATCTGAAACAGTGCTCATATGTGTCAAAAGGATTGAACCAAGTTCCAACTACGAGATAGGCGTCTAAACAGCAAGTACACCAACAGGCTTAAGACCACAAAGAGAAGCAACGTTAACAATCAGCCCTAAACCGGCCCTAAACCCTACCGCCTGAGAGCCTAAACCCCCAAAACCAGGAGTCCTCAACCCAAGCTGCTGTGTCCAACACGGCGGCGCCGGCAGACTGCGCTGTGCCGAGACGCCGCGGCGCGTGGACGAAGGAAAGACTGGGGCTTCGGATTCGGGTAGTTCTCTAAATTAGGGTCCCCTTTAGGGTCCTTTTTATAAGGGTGCCGTACTTTTCTTGGGGACGTGCAAAAGGGATCCTAATTCAGAGAAGTCCCCATTTAGGGTCGAGGCGTTCTTTCTTTTGAGGGGCCTCTTGCAACACCGCTTCCGCTGCAGAGGGCCTCATTGAGGCAGGCTTTGGGTTCTGGGTTTAGTAGTGCGTCGGGCCTTAGTCATTAGAACAGGGAATAGGGTTTTGGGCTTCTTCTTTTAGTATGTTTATAATAAGGAACCCTAAAAATGATGTTGGTAATTATTTAGGCTTCTATATTAGAGCCGACGATTCGCAGGCCGCTTTACATCACCATATATGGTGAGTCTCACCTTCACGGTTTGGGCTGATCTAGTGGTCGGATCATGTTGAACAAGTAGACTTCTAGCCCCCGACACTCTATTCTAATTCTTAAGGCCCCTAAACCCTAAACCCTTAGAGTAGCCCTTATAGAACCCTTTAAGGAACCTAAACCCTAAACCCTTAGAGTAGCCCTTATAGAACCCTTTAAGGAACCCTTAAACATTCTTAAGGCCCCGGTATTACTTCTCCCCGCGCTCTTCTGCGGCTCCCGGGCACTCCCAGCCCACCGGCCCCTAGAGTCTCCCTAAACTCCAAGGGTTTAGGGTTTAGGGGTTTAGGGTTTAGGGTTTAGGGTTTAGGGTTTAGGGTTTAGTCTCCAAGATGCAAACTTCATCCGGGACCCCGAAGATCCCAAGAGGCGCATAAGCTCATAAACCCAAAACCCTGAGCCCTAAACCTTAAACCCTGAACCCTACATCCTGAACCCTAAACCTTAAACCTCAAATCCAGAAGCCTACTCCCTAAATCTTAAACCCTGAACCCTAATCCCTAAACCGGAAAATGGGGGTTTCTGAAAATAGGGGACCCTAATATAGTACCCTAAATAATAGGATCCTTAATATAAGGACCCCAAAATAAGGTACCCCTAATTTTCGGAAACTCCCAAATGTTGAAGAGGCTCCTAAAGGTCCTAAAGGCCTTCGGGGGCCTTTGCTGCCCTCTGGGAGCCTCCAAAAGGACTCACGAGGCCCCAGCGGCCCCGAGCATCTAGGGAGCTTTGTCTTGAGGGTTTAGGGTTTAATGTAGGGGCCGTAAGAATGAGTATAGGGCTTTTAGGTTTAATGTAGGGCCGTAACATTAGAATAGGGTTTTCAGGTATATTATACCATAACTATATTACGGAACCCCCCCAAATCGTATAGGTATTTATTTAAGCCCCTACATTAGGCGTTGTGCCTGAAACGGCTTGAATAGGAGTTAGGATTAGGGGGACCCTTGAAAATATAGACCATCTCAAAAAGGTCCCTTTTAAGAGATCCATAAGTAGGGAGGGTTCAGAAGCGTCCCCTTTAAGGGGTCTCCCTGCCTAGGACTGAAAGAGAATCAATCCTTGGCCCTGTTTGGCTCAAGGGGTGTATCTATACTGTAGAGGCCTGAATAATGAGCTGTAGTGCCCCTATCTTATTACAGCCAACGTACCCCGATACCTGATTCGAACTCGTCAGGCCCCTTTAAGGTCTAAGGTTAAACGTCGAGCGTTAAGGTTGAAGCTTTTAGGTTTGGGGGTGGGTGCCTGATTCAAGAAGTCTAAATTCCTAAACCCTGAACCCCGAACTAAACCCCACACCCTTTTCAGCACGGACTGAGGTGCCGGCCAGCGCCCATGCAACCCTCACCCTACACCCTACACCCCAAACCCTAAACCCCTAAACCCTGAACTTGAAGAGCACTGGATCTTCGTAGGGCCTTGGTGTATTCTCTGGATTTACATGACTGGGTTTGCCTTTAAGCCCTCTGAAAAATATTTATATACAGGGTCCCTTCTAAACCCAATGAAGGAAAACAAAACATGTCCCAAAAACCAACCTAGATGAAGGGTTTTTGGGGCAGCGGACTCCCTGATCGGTTTCCCACTCCCTGCACCAGATACTGTCGGGGCCTTAATAATTAGAACAGGGTTTTGGGGGCTCCTCATAACTCGATTATAGTATCAGATACCCCAAAATCCTATTCTAAGAATTAAGGTCCCTATCCTACCTTTGACGAAACCCATCCCGCGCCACTGAAACTTAACCCGGCGTCCTTGCACGCTGTGATGCCAGGAAAGCGCCCAGGGCCAGAAGCAAGCCAAGGGGTGCCTAAAGCGATGCGACCGGCACTTCTGAATGAAGATCATGCCACGGGTAGGGTTTAGGGTTTAGGGCTAGCGTCAAGGATGTATGGCAGTACGCAGGTGCCATGTACTTGAATGACCTTCAACAGCATGCGAAATGCATGATGCTCATCTAGCACAAGGCACGAGGTGGGACCGAAACCTCAGCAGAGCATGGTTTTCTGCCATGACCATGGAAACCTGAAGACTGTGACTAACGGTTGTGTTTCAACTGTGACGAGGTTCGGAGAGCACGCCCCGCCCGAAACCTCCCCCAAAGTCATGCGCGAGGATGAACGACGGCGACGGTCTGCATCTAAGTCTTTCGGGCAGGCAGGACCTAGAAAGCAGATTTGTTCATAACCTGCGGGTGTAAAGGCCCTGGCGAACACAATCCCATATGCCAGGCAGGACCCCCAAAATAAAAGAGCACCTAGCAGGACCTAGCAGCTAGCAGTCCGTTCAAGAACCTTAGTTGCCCAGTATCCTCGGCGAACTCAAGCTTAGCCTTTGGATTTTATGGGGATTATACTACCCTCAAGAGCTTAAAGGTAACCTACTCAGCAATAAATCCTAAACCCTAAGCCCTAAACTCTACTGCGTTCCTGGAGCACCCTAGACAGCCCCGAATCCGTGCCCAAAAACTCTGTTAGCAGGCTACGAGCGGATGCTTGTTGGTCTGTAGGAGAGAGGTTTAGGGCTGATAGGGTTTGGGGATGTTTAGGGTTTCGGGGTTTGCGGTTTAGCAGAGTTGCCGAATATCCTGAAGGCTTAGGCTCTTAGGCTTAGGGTTTGTAGGGTCTTTGAAAAGGCTTGTGCAGAGCCGGCAAGTCGTTAAACATCTCGGGCAAAGAAATCTTGTGGTGCTGTCGCGTGGCCCCTCGTCGCCCCCGAATCCGGGCCATGGCTGGGAGAAGGTATGCTTTATCGTCAGGAATAGTACTCGTGCCTTCATAGTTCACAAAAATCGTTCAGCCATCCTGAACCCTAAACTCCCCGGTATTAGGGCTGCTGTGTCAGAGGGTCATGACTTCTTTGGGACGGAGTGGGCACCCGAGGGGTTAAGGGTTTTAGTCGGAGTTCTCAACTCTGGCGTTTTCTGAAATGAGGATACCTCAGTCACGGGGCCTTAGATTGCGGACGCTACTCGTTAGGGTCCATACCACAGGTAGTGTCCAACATGTTCTGAAACACCCATCCTACAGCAGTCTTACAGCACGTTGGACATTGACTTCGGCAGGAGCTTGCAATGGAAGGCGGGGTATCTTGCAGAATGTGTCATACACTGGAAACCCTAACCCTAAACACAAGGCCCTAATAGAACTGGAAGATGCCACGTACGCCCTGCAGGCCAACGTCGACCAACCATCGTGCAAGTGAGACTCGACCAATAAATGGCTGTGCAGTATATGTGCAAGTCAGTCCCAGGATTTTGCAAGCTGTTCTCTCGAAGCCAAAATTCGTAAACCCAGGCTTAGGAACCAGCGAGCCGCAGGTTGTCACTAAAGAGCACAACACCCTCAAGCCTAACTTTATCGGCCCTGCAAGCAGCGCACACTTTCCTACGTCTTGGCCGGAACCCGACAGTCGATTCACGATCCCTGAACGTGCAAGCAACCCTGGCCAGTCTCAACCCAAAACAAAAAACCTAAACCCAAAACCACCCAAAAAACACCCTAAACCCCAAACCCCCCAAAAACAAGCCCGAAGTAGCTCTGACAGAGTGGTAGAATCCGAATACTCTGCCTCACCAAACCCAGGGCGTGGGGCTTCAGGGACCTTGGGTTTAGGGTTTCGGGTTCTAGGGTTTCGGCTTGTAGGGTTCAGGGCTCAGGGTTTACGGTTTCAGATTCTAGGGTTTTGGGTTCAGGGTTTAGGGTGTAGGGTTTAGGGTTTAGGGTTTAGGGTTTAGGCTTCAGGGTTTTTCGGGTCCTAGGACTTAGGGTTTAGGTTAGGGTATAGGGTATAGGGTTCTAGGGTATAGGGTTTTTCCCGATTCCGCGTGCGCAGCGTTCGCAAGCGTCCGCAAGCCAGCCACCACAGCCCCCACAGCCCCCACAGCCCCCCCAGCCCCCCCAGTCCCCCCAGCCCCCCCAGCCCCCGAAAGCTGAAACTCGTCGCGAAACGAAGACCAGTAGTCACGGGGATGCGGTCCTGGTCGCCAAACCTAGAACTGATAATCATTCAAGGCATGCTCAGGTGGCCATTACAGGGCTTAGGGCGTCGGACTTGAGCGGCTTCACGACAGACAGAATGCGCATGTACTTTTACGGAAAATTTGGAATTCATCGACAACAATTCGATAAGTACGCAGGGCTGAGAAGGAAGCTATACCTTTTCAGTACTTATGCAAGCATACATGGGCATCAACCTCGAAACCCTAAGTAAGCTCTGGCCTAAAACCCCACCACAAACCATAAACCCTAACCACAAATTCTCAAGCCCTAAACCCTAAACCCCTTTCTGCCTACCCAAAACCCTTAATCCTCAACCCCAAACCCTTAATCCCTAAACCCTCAACACAAAACCCTAAACCCTAAACCCTAAACCCTCAACCCTAAACCCCTAAACCCTAAACCCTCAACACTCAACCCTTAATCCTCAACCCTAAACCCTTAATCCTCAACCCTAAACCCTAAACCCTAAACCTTAAACCGTAAACCCCAATGGGAGACCCCGAGCCGAAACGCGGGCAATCGGTCTCTTTCCGTTCCTCCAGGCGATACACCTCAGCTCCCAGAGACTCCAATACCCCTTAATCAAGGAATATATACCTTAAATCATAGTAAGGATCCTACTATAATTTAAGGAATATTCCTTAAATCATAGTAAGGATCCTACTATAATTTAAGGAATATCCCTTAATTAAGGGATATTGGAGTCCCTCGCAGTCGCAGGCAAGACATGGAGGGCGGTTCCGGTGGTTTTGTGCTTCGAGGCTGCTATGATATGGGCGCCTTCCTATTGTAGGGTTTTGGGTTTTGGGTTTAGGGTTTGCTTTGGAATAGGGTTTTGGACGATATTGTTCTACTACAGGCGCACTAGGGACTCTATGGGGATAGTATGACTTAAAGCTCGTGTTGCCACGAGGCGACGGGGTGCAAAGCCACTGGTAACCTCATGTATGTAGTCGGTACGACATAGTCTTGCCATACTATGTGTATATATACATATTACCGCCAAAACCTATGAACCCACTACAAACTGCCCCAAGCAACGGAGGATCCCACATTCATTCATACCCAGAGACTCCAATATTCTTTAATTAAGGTATATTCCTTAAATTATAGTAGGATCCTTAATATGATTTAAGGAATATTCCTTAATTAAGGAATATTGGAGTCTCTGGGGACTATCCCGAAGATGCTTCCGGTTGGCGCAGTGAGCCGAATCTCTCCATGCCCCGGCACCCTGCACCCGAAGCTGCTCATACAAACCGCCCTAGCCTTAATATAGGCTTCTGGGGTATATAATACTATAATTATAACAAGGAGCCCCCAAACTAGTTTAGGTAATTGGCAAGACCCCTAGAATATTACACCATTCGACCCCAAGGGTTGGCCTGAAACCCCCAAACCGGTAAAAGCCTTGCGAACCTAAACCCTCTATCACCGCCCCAGGCGTCCCTAAACCCCAAATCCTAAACCCCCAAACCCGAAAGAAAACTCTCAAACCCGAAGCCCAAAACCGCAAATCCTAAACCCCCAAACCCGAAAAAAAAACCCTCAAACCCCAGGCCCTTTTTTTGGGCAGGGACTGCAATGCACTGAGCCCTGAACCCGAAGCCCTAACCCCAAAATCCTGAACCCGCAAACCCAAAAGAGAACCCTCAAACCCGAAGCTGGGACAGGTGACCTGCGCTGTCAAGTCAGGATCCCAAGATGCCTCCACCACCCAACAACAGGGTTGCAACGGTTTAGCTTTTAGGGTCTAGGGTTTAGGGTTTAGGGTTAATGGTAGATTAGAAATATTTAATAGTCACAGTCTTGCAGTAGAAGCAAGTGTAGCATAGTATAGAACAGCTAGGGTGTGCAAGAAACTAAACCCTAAACCCTCTCTCTCTCTCTCTCTCTCTCGCGGACTCAGAGGTCTGTCAAACCCTAAACCTTAAACCCTAAAACCCTAAACCCTAAACCAGGTTGTGATGGATGTGGGTGAGGCCTTTGGAGCTCGGCTAGAGTGTACTATTGGTGCCCAAGAACTAAACACCAAGGTTTAGGGTTTAGGGTTCAGGGGTATGTTACATTACAGCATAACTATAAGGGAACTGCAAGGGGATAACGCATTGGTACCTCTTCTGACCTTTATGTTGCCCGTTTTCGACGGTGAATTGCGAGATGCAGTTTAGGGCCTAGGGGCTAACGGCGTAGTGTTTAAGCCTCCCGCTTGGCCAGGACGAGACCAAAATAGCAGGGTACTAGGGTTTAGGTTGGAGCTCAAGGTTTCGAGGGTGTAAGATGCAGCGGCTTGGGAAGATTCGGGACTACTAGAGCTGTACTGTAAGACCCTCATCTTAACAGAAGGAACCCCAGAAGAAAAGGGCCCCTGATATTAAGAACCGCCCTTGTAGGACGAGTTGGGATTCAGGGGACCCTTTGGGATGTAGACCCCCCCCTGTCAATATAAGGTCCCTTTTTAAGAGAGCCATAGCGAGGGTTCAGAAGGGTCCCCTTTAAGGGGTCTCCCAGATACTACCTGGGACGTAGCCTATCAACCGTGGTGGAAGCTGTCCTAGTCTGGCCATACCTTCCAGTGAGGGTTTGGGGTTTAGGGTTTTGGGGCTTAAGGTTGTAGGGTTTTAGTGTTTAAGGTTTGGGGTTTTAGGGTTTAGGGCTTTAGGGATGGAGGCAGTTTAAGACCCTTAACCCTATAGACCCTAAACCTGTTTAAGTCACGGCCTGGGGCCGGCACGTAAACCCCTGAACCTGAACCCCTACCACCCTGGACCTCCCCCCGAAACTGTCGTGGCTCTCTGATACTCTAGGCCAAAACGTGAGGGCCTAAATAATTACCAATACTATTTTGGGGGTTCCTGATTATAATCATAGTATACTGGGGTCCAAACCCCTATTCTAATTATGAAGGCCCCTAAACCCTAAACCCTTATAGGAGCCTTTTAGGAACCCCTGTTTAAGGAACCCTAAACCCTTATAGTAGCCCTTCTAGAATCCTTTAAAGGAACCCCAAACCCCTAAAGTAGCCCTTCTAGCACCCTTTAAAGGAACCCCAAACCCTTAAAGCAGCCCTATAAGGAACCCTCTAAGGACCCTTCAAAGGAACCCTAAACCCTTAAAGTGGCCCTTGAAGGAACCCTCTAAGGAAGCCCTTTAAAGGAGCCCTAAAAAGGCCCCCTAAACCCTAAACCCTAAACCCTAAACCCTTTTCTATCGGCCTCCAGGTTCAGGGAAGTCTGAAGGTGAAGGCTCCGGCCCTGAAGACAAAGGCCGCGAACAAGGGTTTAGGGGTTAGGTTTTAGGGGTTTAGGGGTTTAGGGGTTTAGGGTTTAGGGTTTAGGGAAGTAGGGGTTTAGGGAAATAGGGGTTTAGGGTTTAGGGGAGCTTGAACCTTCTAAACCTACAGACCCTCCCTAAACCACA